CCCAGCCTTTATCTCCTACGCCCCCTCACAAGGGCTGGGCAGGGCAGGGCAGCAGGTAGCGTCCAGCCTGAGGAGAGGGAACTGGCCTTGGGCTAAACATTAACTCTATGACAAACAACAGGAGCTGGGACCAAGTGGTACCCTTTCCCTGGGCATGGCAGGGGGGCAAAGGGGGTAGAGAAGCCCAGCAGAAAAGCAGGTGGATTTTGGTGGAGTGTTGGCCTCACCTAGGAAGAAATCAATTAAGACCCTCAAGGAAAACCCTGGCCCTCCAACCAAATCCGAGAGGAGCCAGATGTGGGATAAGGGGACAGTGGAGATGGAGGAGGTGACTGAGCACAGGAAGAGGAGAGCAGGGGTGGGCTTGGGTGTAACACAGAAAGGTGGAGAGAGGAGTAGGATCGGGAGTGGGTTTCACCTGGAGAGGAGACCACTCTGGAGAAAGTTAGGATGGCTGTCAGGGGAGCAGGGGTCAGGAGGACTTTGAGATAATGGGTAAATAACAGAGGGGAGATGGCCAGAGGTAGAGAAAGCAGAGTCAGTCCCTGGGAAAAAAAAATGCCAAGCTACAGAGAGTGCCACTGGCAGTTCCCCTTTTGGCACTCCCACTTCCTTCACTGCCCCCTGACATCTGAGCTTCATGGTACAAAGCTTTGTTCCCTTGCTCTCAGTCCTATGCCTGCCAGACCTCACTGGTCATTGCACAGGGTCGGCACCATCCCTTCCTCCCCACCAAAAAGCCAGCATCCCTAACCAGGGGCGTTCAGGCAACCTGGGCGCTAAGTATTGGGTAGCTGCCAGGGTGCGGGCTCCCCTCCTCTGATCTCAGAAATGCTCCTTCCCTGGGTTGCCCTGGAGATGACTGACCCCAGGAAAGAGAGGTGAGGCGGATGAGGACAGCACCCTGCCCACCTGAGGCATCACGGCAGAGACTTCTGCAACCGTTTGCTCCATCCGAGACGCAAGCCCCCTACACATCGCAGGGGCCATCTTCAGGGGGCAGATTCTACCCTTCCCACCCCCAACTCTGCCCTTGGTTCCCTGCTGAAGCCAAAGCCCTTTTTCTGCTTATCCCTCCATCTCACATCTATTGGGGCTGTACCTCCCAAGCTGGAAGCCTTGATGAGTAAAATTGGGATGGTCAAGTCAGAGGGTTAAGGGTGAGATCAGGCCTGGAAAGGACTCAGAGCAGCTGTAGATGGCACAGCCTGCAAACCCCACTCGACCTGAATGTCCCTGGGGTTCAGCCACTTCCCTCCATGGTACCCACTCTTTAGGCCCAGGTGCCTTGTCACCATGGTGACAGCTCCTCCCTGGCTAAAGAGGTAAAAGCACAATGCAGAAGAGGCAGGTGAGGTAGAAGGCTGGTGGGCAGGGAGGTGCTGGGTGGGCTACCAGACCCAGACTACTCCAACAGCCCTGAGATGTTCTCGCAAGGGTCAGCAACTCTGCGCTGACCCTCACTGTCCTGAATCTGGCCAGGGTGTTTCTAACTGTCCCTAGAGCTGGAGATTACAAAGCCTTTCCCTATCTGAAAAATTTCCAGTGCAAGGATGGAGCCTCAGGCAGCAGAACAGCTGGAGAGCTATCACCAGCACCAGGAGAGAGACTACAAAGAGGGCTGCCAGCAGAGCTGAGACGGGGAGACCGGGTGTCGAGTCCAACCAACTCAGGGCAACACTGAGGTATGGGAGGAAGACAGAGCAGACTAAGGGAGAACAGCAAACCAGATGAAAGCCAAAGGACAGGGCAAAGGCCTCCTGAAAACACATCAGCGGACTATTGGAGGCAGTGTTGGGGAGGCAGGCAATGGAACTGAAATTTCCTGATGGGGCCTCTGCACATGAGCACAGATACACACATGGTGCAGAAGGAGGGAGTCCAGCCAGCTGAGGGCACAGGCACAGGAAGCATGGGGCACTCCACACCTGTACGTATTGATTCAGGTGGCTCTGGCGAAACACTCAGATCATAGTGTCCTGACTGACCCAGGGCAGTCATGCCCAGGAGAAAGCCACACTCAGGTCTCTGTCCACAGATGCCCACACTGGTACCACCAGAGTGCACAGACGTGGGGGTGACACTTGCTGTATGCAACAGGCAGCATCTTGCTTCCTCCACAGACACCCAGAAGTGGACAAGCCCAGAGCCAGGGCATTGGTCTCAGGAAGAGAGCATGATTTTAATTGGAGGACGGGGTCCCAGTGTTACTTGAAGCCAGCGCCTCTAGGGTTGCACCTACTGTGGTGGCTGCTCATTATCCTCTGAATGTGAAAACACATGAAGAAAAAATGGAAAGATAAACTAGACACAGCTCCTGACATCCGTAGGTCTGGCCAGCTGGACATCTGTTGTCACCTCTCAGCTCTCCACCATTTGCTCAGTTTCTGCCTCTTCCTCCCAACGTCCACCTGCCATGTCTATCTCCCTCCTCCACACTGTTCCATTCTGGTTCCTGTCCCAACCCCCAGTCAGGACGTTCATGATGGAGATTCCGCAGGACCAGGAAGAGGGAGCACCCAGGCTGTGGAGCCAGACACAGGAACTGAGTCTGCATGGGGAGCCTGAATCGGGGAGCAGAGGTGGCACGAGCAGCAGGAAGACACTGTGGACGGGTCCCATGATGTCTGGTGCTGCAGAGTTTCTGGAAGAACCCCCAGTGTGAGAGCACGAGTCCAGGAGAGGGGAGATCAGGCAGGAATCACTGAATGCTGCCCAGCAGAGTCCCCTGTGCCCTTGGTCTCTGCGAGTCACTGATCTGTCCTGGGTGGAATCAATAATGTTTCTGTAATTCAATAGGGGTGGGAGGAGGGTGAAAAGAGATAACCTAGGATTAATTGAGGTTGAGGCAGGAAAGGTCTGGGAAATGAGTGCATTCTGGAGGACGATTTTACACAGAGATTTGCAGTCAATAAGGGCCGACCGCTCCCCATTGTCTCCAGCTGTAAGTGGACTCAGTCCTTCAGGAAGCAGGTCTCCGGACATGCCCTGATCCTCCGCTGTCTCTCACTTATCTGTTATCAGAACCCCTGATTTATGGGCCCCCACAGGGCAGCTGGCCCTTCCAGCCAAGAGGCAGCGTGCAATTCTAGCCGGTCACTCTGCTGAGAGCTCAGAAGCCAGTTCTTACATGTGGTGCTGAGAGAGAAGAAACTAGAGGTGAAAGGATGGGAGAAAGACCGGAGAAGAGAGAAAGTAAACCCTGCTAGAATTAGAGAGAAAGAGAAAGCCAACCAGGAGATGGAAGTCAGAGAAAGGAGAGGCAAAACAGAGGTGGAGAAGAGAAAAAAGGGAAAGTCAGGGAGAAAAGGGTAGGGAAGTGCTCAAAGCAAGACAAGATGGAACAGAAAGAGCAAAGGAGAGAGAGAAACAGATGAGAGAGCGAGTGAAGGTGGAGACTAGCAGCAAGGATGAGGACTTTTCCTGTCCACATCTGGAGGTTTCAGTTGTCTCACAGGTCTGAGGCCACGGGTCTCCTGTTGTCCTTTGGGGACACTACTTTTGCAACACTGCTCAGAAGGGTGGAAGGTTTCATTACGCAAGGATGCGGGGTCCCCACACAGCTCCCGGGAAAGCACCCTCTACCCCTCCACCTCTGCTCCCATACACAAGAAGCTTCTCTTTCCTCCAGGATGTGAGCCCCAAGCAGCACAGGGAGGGAGGCTACGAGGCCAGATGAAGATCACGGTAGGTTCAAGGGGGAGAGCTGGCAGTGAAGGACTGGAGTCTGGCTTCTGCCAGCGCAGGCCACCTCGGCCCTCAACTGCCCTCCCATCAGCACAGCCCACTATCTTCAGCCTTCTTTGTGGTGGGGCTAAGGCAGGCCGATCAGTCAATCCTCAAGCTGTCTAGGGACAGGCAGGCCCACTGAGCAGCAGGAGGGTGGAAGCCACAGGTCTAACTGACATGTGCTTGATTTGGGTGAATCGCTGAGCGGTATGAGAAAACACCCGCCCAGACACATACACAGGTGATTCTGACCCAAGTTCCTACTAAACCAAAGCCTTGCCCCTACCCCCACCAACCCTCCCCTTCCCCAGAGTGTCCTCAACTTCTGTCATTCACAGCCACCTTCCCCCACACCTTCTCCGTGCCCATGTAGCCTGCTGAGGTAGAGCCTGGTGTTAGCGGAGGGGGAAAGATGGCCTCCATGTGATCAATCAGTCAAGTGTGGGGAACGCAGACTCAGAGTTGGAAAGATGATGACCTGAGGCCAGGCTATGACTGCAAACCGCCAGTCCCTCCACTAAACACTCCCAGAGGGCAGAGCACAACGGGGCAGGGGCCAGCTGAGAAACTTCAGCCAGCCGCTCTTCAGGGGACAAGTTCAAAATCCTGTGGCCCAGTCTATGTGACCAAGGGGATGTGGCCTCTGCAGGGACTATTTACTCCACAATATGTGTCCTGGGTAGGAACCACTCTCTGGAGACCCCAGACTATACCTTCACCAGACCCAGAGCCATGGATGTCTTCTAGAAGAAGCATGCCCTTGGGGCCACTGAGGTATATGCCTTGGGGCAGAAGTCAAATTCCATTACATGGGACAGCCTCTCTACTAAGGGGGAAAGTTTTCTGGCTCCACTTCCCCCAAAATGTTTTGGTTAAGGGAAGGAAACTTTGGCCCTAAGTTCAGGCCCCGAGGCCGTCCCAGTCCCAGAATCTGTCTGGCCTGGGGATGCCTCCCTGGCTGGTGTCCTCCATGAGGGCCGGAGCAGCGTTGTCCAGGAGCCTAGAGGAGGATAAGGCAGGCCATCCCTCCCTGGTCTCCCTGAATCAAATCGTGCCTCAGCAGCAGTCCCGTCCTGCTACAAAAGATAACCACTGTATCTGGTTTTTGAGGGAGGAAGCTGGTCAGGGGAAGAGCCCACCTTTCTAGGCCTCAATGTGCTCAAGCCCACGAGGCAGCCAAACCACCCTGCACACCGCTCGGTTCCCCTGACCACTGCTTCCCCCCCCCCACTTTACAGGTACCCAACAAGAAGAGAAACAGGGATACTTACATTATACCAACTCTGGCTTTTCTGAAAGGACAAAATAAAAGAGAAGGTAAAATTAGTCAGGGAAGAGATGGTGGGAATGGCCAGGGTATTCCTGGCTCCAGAGGGAAGGTTACACAGACAGCAGGGGGCGGGCAGGGAGGAGGAATCCAAATGCAGCAGAATGCTTCCCATGTTGCTGCTCGGGAGGGGTCCTCCTTTCTCAAGACAGCTCCGGAAAGGAGGCCCAGGGAGCAGTCCATGCTGGAAGCCCCACCGCAGCTGGGGTGGCAGGCAGCGGCAGCCCCAGCTAGAGCTCAGCTGGAAGGGAGTCGGAGCCCCATCACAAGTTTCTTCTGATGGGGTAAAGGATGCACGGCAGACATCCAAGACCCAGTCCCCAGATGGGCCCTGACCAGAAGCAAAGTACAGATGGAGGCCAACCCAGCCTTCTGCCCCAAGTCAGCCCTCTGGAGAAGGCAGGAGGGGACTCTTTGGTACATGGGAAGAAAAAGGACTGCCTAGAAACTTCCTCCAACTGTGTTCCCCACGAGCAGATGAGTAAATGCCTCCTTCTGACCAAAAGCTGGCTGATCACCTAAGCCATGATGGCAGGGGAGTGGTGGGGGTTCTACCCTGGGAGGGAGTTTGAAGCATGTACTTGCTAATGGTCCTTCTCAACTTCGTGGTGCCATAATTTAATACCAACAAAACCAGACTCTGCTCCAGCTCCAGAATTCAGGTGCTCTCCATTCCCAGCCCTGAGCAAAGGTTACTCATCTTCAAGGTAACTGAAAGTTTTTTAGGGGAAAAAGGGGGGATGGCTAAGATTGTGCCTTGTCTATCTCTGATCTCTATGGCCAGTAGTCCTTTCTACACATCCCACGTGGAAGACAGACAGATAGAAAGGCAGATAGGAATAGATATACAGACACACACGTACACAGACATGCACACACCTGCCTAGGCTCCATCCCTTGAGGTGCTGATCCAATAGGCTTAGATTGGGGCTGGGGTATTTTCAGTTTTAAAAAGCTTGCCAAGGGTGTAACTTGGGAGAAGAATCACCGGGTAGAGGGACCCTTTGCCTGCAGGTCAACATCTTAACTATATGCAGAGGTGTGCATCCTGGGCACAATTAGCAACCTTTATCCCCTCCACATGGACCTAAGGGGCCCCGGATCATCGGGGAAGGAGAGGGCAGCCACCGTCTCAGGATGTCTGCTGTGCAGGTGTCTGGCGGGGTGGAGGGGGGCTGAGTACGTCTGCAGTGACAAAAGCATGATCATGTGATGCCCCCTCGCCAGCTCTCCCATTCCACCAGAAGAACTCTATAGAGATCCTCAAACTGCACTCTGAAGGCGAAGCGTGCCAGCAGCAGGGGAAGCACAGGGCGTGCTGCCTCTGAGTGGTTGTGTTTCACCTCACACCCAATCTCACCAGCCAGAATACGGCTAGAGTCTCAATCCTCCTCTGCAAGATGCTCTCCATGGCATTTCCCAACAAAGGCTGTCATGGTGGCCCATCTGGAAGTCACAGGCTCCCACCAGAGCCTCATCTTCTCCTTCAAGCCAGAAGTCTTAGCAGCTAAAGGGGCCGAATTCAAATATTCAAAAGTAACAGCTTCATCATTGATAGAGCTATTGCCACACAGGAATCCTGGACCTGGAGCTGATAACTAGCCTCAAAGCATTTCAGCTAAGGCTACCCACATCTGGATGAGAGCAGATGGCGCAAGGAGGCTGCATCTGACTTTATCTGCACCTTTGAGACGTCTTGATTCCTGGGTCCTGACCCTGAGATCACAGGGCATGAGGCTGCACAGATACTCATTACAACACATTTCCCACTGGTGGAAAGGCACACTGTGGGAGCCGCCATCATCTCATCACACCAAAGCCAGGTCATCAGACGTCAGCTTCACAGCTGAGAAAACTCTCCAGCACCCACTCCCTAGCTCCTCACCCCACTGTCCTGGCCTTCCTGTAAGACCCTAGGAGGAAAGGGGGCAACAGCAACGTGGGCCGGGTGGGAGGACCCACAATCCTTCATGACTTCTCCTGCACAGTACTCTCCCTCCTGCCTCAGGTAAACAGCAGAAGTAGATTTTCTCTTTTCACGTACTGCCACATGGATGATAGGCCCTTCTGAATCTGTTTGGAACAAAGAGCTTCAGAGTGACAAAGAGCCTCAACCAGGAAACCCGTGTCCTGTCTCTAACTAGCTGTGTGGTACCTTTGTGTGTAATACTTGCTCTTTTGTCAAGGCGGGTAAGAATACGTGCTCTCAAGTCCTGAAAAGAAAGTGAAATAACCATCCAGAGCAATGACTTTGTCTTGTCCCTCAGGAGGAGACCTCACCTGTAACCAGCCATTTCAGGGCAGCTTCTTGTCTGTCACCACTGAGGGTGGCACTGGGAAAAATGTGCCCCACTCCTCCAGCCAAATCCATAGTAACTGCTGAGGACACCCACTGTGGGGAGAGTCCCTGAACCTGGACCAGCCTTTCAGAGGCAAATTTGATCCTCGTGGCCCTGCTCTCCCAGGACCTAGTCCTGAAGGGGCTGCCTGCCCTCAGGGTTCACTGAAATGCCCCTCTCGTGCAGAGAGGGATAGAGGCATGGAAAGAACAGAACTAAGGTGGGAGGGGATGGCTATTCTGGCAGGTTATCAATGGATTTGGTAATGAGGGAGGAGGGGGTCAGGAGAAGTACCCACAGACAGAGCTGTGGAGGTCAGGACACTGAGGGAGATGTTTCCAGTGCCTCCTGGAAGAGGTCTGAAGAGAAGAGCCTGCAGGATTGCAAGGCCACTGGAAACAGACCCAAGTCCCTCAAACATCTCCCCAGTGCACAGCCTCGGGGAATCTGGAAGATGGAAGGTAGGGGGCAGAGGAGGGGATGAGAGCAGCTCTATGTTTAGCAGGAACTAGGGGGAAAAAAACAACTTCTTACTTTGATCAGGTGAAGTCTGTCATACTGGGAAGAAAAACCACAAAAATTAGCATTGAAAAACAGGGAAAAAGTCAAAGGGGAAAAGGCGTGACAGAACCACAGAGACGGGGTGACTGCGCACACCCAGCATAGGAGGCACGATGCAGGGCCAAGCTCAGGACTTGCCCGGCTATTGGGCACCGCCCTACAGCGCGTCCCAGTTCAGGGGCTGGTGGGAGCAGGAAACGGCCCCTGGCTCCCTCTGGTGGCCATAAGCCATCACTACAGGGTGGCAGCAGGGTGGTGGCATCCTCTCAAGGGGTCCTGGGAAGTGGAAATGAGCCTTGATGTCTTCAGTCCACAGCTCTGGGAGGGCTGCACTGAGCAAGGGTCAGCTTCAGCAGGACAGTGACAGATTCACAGGACAGGGACCTTACTCATAACCTAGTCCAACCCCTACATAATAACACATGAGAAAAAGGAGGCCCAGAGCGGGGAAGACAGACAATGTGCGTGAGGCCTGGCTCCAAGGAGGAGTGAAAGCACTCTCCAGCTTGCCTGTAAAGTATATGAGGTCACCTGGCCTGGTGGCCTGGCTGTGACAATAGCTCTGGCTACCAGATCCCTCGCCACAGATACATTTGGTCAACCTGAGACAATGTTCCACCGGGGGAGGAGAGCACATCCTCCTCTCTTCACCTCAGCCCTGAAGCTTCCCTCACTCTCTGGTGCAGGCCCTGACCTGTGTGGAACCTAATTCCTACAGTGGCTCTCATATTTTCTTTCTGAAGTCCATGTGTCCTGCAGACGCATGTCCCAGATGGACCATGGCAGCTACTGCTTCCACCTGGGGTGGTAGGGTGCCCCTCCCCCGTGAGTCAGTCCTATTTTAACTGCCTTAGAGGACGGTAGCGCTGGTGGCGGTGGTCATGGCTGGTGAGAGAACGGGGTGGGGAGGCGGCTATCCAAAGCCGGGCAACTGAGACCACATGTGTGCTGGAGACAGGCACTGCCTCACCCAAGCTCTTCAAAGCGAAAGAAAACCTAGACTCCTTCCATCGCCTTCCTCTCTGGCTCCTTAAGGGAGGAGGCCAAGATGAACTCAATTCATGTCCAGCTCTTAGGCCCTTCATAATGCCTCATGTTTGCCTCTCCAAAATCCAGAGTTCCTGCCTGGTTCCGTGCTCCTGCCCCCTGAAACACGCCCTGCCTCCGACTTCATCTAACAGCCTCAGCTACTCGTGTGGTTCTAAGTCAGGGTTAGTTTGTGGATAATGTGGGCATGTCTCTCATCTCCCTTCCTAAACTGAATGCTGCCTGGGGCTGGGAAACTGTCTTCACACTCGTTTCCCAAAGAAAAGCTACCATTTAGGAGATTTTAAAAATCCTCATTTCTGGGTACTCACCTCAACCCACCACCCGACTAAAAGAGGCACTCTGTAAGTGGTGACCACTGGCCATGAATAAGTATGGCTCTGCTTACTGAGCGCCTTGCTAGGTACAGGGATAAGGGGGTGAGGAAGCTCAGAGCTTCACCTCAGGATGGGAAAGTGTGCAAAGACCGTGGGCAGAAGCAGAGAGAAGGAATAGCCTGATGCCCACGTCCAGAGACACCTGCCCTTCTCCCCAGCCAGAGGCATGAGGGGCTCTGGAGGGGCTGACAGAGGTCATCTCAAAACCCTGAGCCTAGACATGCCTGCACCTGCTGGGCCACCTGAACTCAGAGAATTCCGGTGGCTTCCTCACTCTGGCAGAGTTCCTCCTCCCATGTCCACGGCCAGCAAGCCATCTAAAATCCTCAGAGCCAAGACGCGCTTTCAGCCTGAAGGTCACAGACTGCAGGATCAGCCCTGCAGCCTCTTGTTCTTCCCTCAGGAAAGAGAACAGCTGTTCACCCTCCTCCTCCCCAAAACACTTAGAGAGGCTTGAGACTATTATTAAGTCATCCCTCAGCTTCCTCTTCTCCAGGCTGCATCCATGCCCTCCCCCGTGTATTATTTTTTCCTGAGCCCCGCCGTTCGTTCTAAAATACCTAGTGCTCACCCTCCGCCCCCTCCACATTCTCCTCAGGCCTCTGAGATCCTGGGGTCCTGGGCTGACTCTGGCACAGCCTCCCTGACCTGGTGTCATCTCTGTAGGGCCTGGCAGAGGCTACTGTCAATGTCTACCAACCTCCAGGTGCTGACACCATGCCCTCTGGGGAAAAAAGGTCCCCTCTGATCATAATCCAGGATCCTAAGGACACCCCGAGCCCCGGGCTGGGCAGTGGGTGGGAGCAGAAGTGGTGCTCAGGCTGAGGAGCTCTGGGCGGGCAGGCAGAGGGAAGGAGCGGGCCAGCGAGAGCTCCTGAGGTCACTCTACCACACCAGGGAACCCACCTATGGGAACTCGTGACGCTCAATCAATTCACCTGGGCAATCAGGAATCACCCACCAAAGCAGCTGTAAGGTGGTATCAGGCCCTGTAGCCCAACTGAATGGGGCCTCCCTTCCCCAAAGAAAGGAACTAAGCCCTGGCAGGACTCTGCTTCTAGAAGGCACCATGTAAGGAGGGAACAGATTCCCAGACCGAGGCAGTGTATGGGGAGCAGGCAGAGACATGGGGGGACGGGGGATGGGTCTGTTCTCCAACTTGGGGTGCAGTGGGAATGGTCCCTCAGTGACTTCAAGCCAGCCTGCCAGGGGCAGTGGGGCCGGCCCTTCTGGGAAAGGGACCAAGCAAGACACATGGGCCAAAATGGGCGGGGGCAGAGGGAGGGGTGCGGAGCACTACAGACAATTCAACACCGGAGGGGAGACCAAAGACACAGAGACAAAAGATGGCTTACTTTTGAGAGGCGCTTGTGAGACTAAGACCATGCATGCAAAGAAGGTATTTGGGAAATGGTGGGGAAGAAGAGGAAGAACAAGAAATCAAACGACAAGTTCAGACAGGAAGCCAGCTCCCATGTCTCCCAGGGATCCCTGACTCCCCCCACCCAGGGCCTGAGTACAGCAGAAAAAGGGAAGCTTTCTGAAGGAGCACCTAGACAAAGACATCTCCTGCTTCCCAAAGGACTGGGCCTGGGAGAAGAAAATCTCTGGGGAACCGTAACTAGCCTGGGACCCCCAGGGCTTAGCTTATGCCTATCCCGAGGCAAAGGCCCAGTGCTTCGGTGGAGGTGCCAACACACTTGGGAGGGACGGAGAGGCCCTGTCACCGTCCTCTTGGCCAGACGAGTACCAAGTGGGTTAGTACTGAAGGTAAGGCAGGGTGATGCCCAGGGCGGAGGTTAAAAACAGCATTCTGCAACATTCCATGAGGACTCTCTTCCTGGCACCAGAGTTGTCCCGCAATAATGCTCCCTTTACCCCAAATTTGAAAAAGGAAGTAGGGCTAAACAGATGACCCCTCCTGATCCCCAGAGCACTCCTCCTGCACATCTTGAGGTCTGTGATGGATGCTCCTGGACTCCTAAAGGGAGATACTAGTCTTTGTGGAATCATCCTATTGGCACCGGGGCCCTCTCTGAGTGCTTACCTGAGCAGTTAAAACATAACTAGGGTCTCTCCTTCCTGCCCCACCCTCGCCTCACTGAATAATGACTATCTCTGGGTCTCTAGGGCTAGTCAATCACACCAAGTCCCTCAAGGAAGGGGTTCCCTACTTCACCATCCCCTCAACACCAGCATCCCTGCAGCCAGCTAACAAGGAGGTACAGAGTCCCTGGGGGAGGGGGGGTGTCCATCTCACCTTGGAATTTTTGCCCCCACTCCGGCCAGACTGTGAAGAGCAGCTGCGCTGCACACCCTGCTCCGGTGTGGACGGGGACTTGTCCGAGGAGTGATCTGAGCCCTTCTCCACCATGGTGTCTCCGTCTGGGTTCTGTGGGGTTGGTGAGCGAGACCGCTTCCGGAGGATGGGGGAGCAGGCCGGCGTGCTGCGGTTTGAGTTACTGGCAGTGCTGCAGGGGCAGATGGAGACAGCGGGTAGGGTGGGAAAAGGGAGGAGCAGGAAAGATAAGCTGTCAGTGATTGAAGGCCGAAGATGGGTCCCAAGGAGGCAGCTCAGGGAGCCAGGGTTAGGGGCTAGGGAGAAACTGGCCCAACTAGGGACCTACTGCCCCGTAATACTGCTGCTGGCCAGGAGAGGGCGGTGGTGCCAATGTGAAAGGGAAATAGTAAGGAGGGCAATTAGACATTTAGATATCCATCTGTCCATCCATTCATCCAAATACCGTCAGAACCCCTATTATATGCCAAGAACTGTCTAGGAAAAACAGAATTTGAGAGCTGAAAGACTCATTAGAGATCATCCAATACTATCAGCTCATTTTATATGTGCTGCAAATCCAGGTTCTACTTTTTTTTTTTTGAGATATTTGTCCATAAAAATAACAATAATAATCCTACTTTTCAAAGCATCACATACGTATTATTTCATAGGGTTCTTAAATCACTCCCCCGAGGCAGCAGTGACAAGACCCATAATCCCTATTTTAAAAACGAAGACTTATGTTTGGCAAAGAGAAGCTAAGTGTCCTCTGATGGCAGAGGGCTCAGAAACAAAATTTGGGTGTTCTAACTTGTAACTCATCCACACCATCCTATTTCTTTGTAAGTCATATTGGTTCCTGCTCCCCCTGCCCAGGACAAAGGTGAACACAGAAGTTCTCACATTCCATTCCCCACCCCCACCCCCAAATTCATTTCCAAGAGGTACCCTGTACATCCACAGAACCAAATTCACTTACACCAAGGCTTATAAGCTGTATAAATACTTACTACTGGATATTTAGCTTGTGTTCTTAATGGAATAGAAGGAGAAGAGAAGAAGAAAGAAAGAGGAGAGGAAAATTAAATGCAGTTAAGTTCTAACAGGTGTTAGAGAAAGAGATGGAAAAGGAAAAGGTCAAGTAGAAAAGAGACAGGAGAAAAGGGAAGGAAAGCGAGTGTAAGACTAGAAAGCCAAAGAAGCACAAGGGGAGGGAGTGAAAAGCCGAGGGTCCCTCTCACCCACTCAACAGTCAGAGAGCAGGGTCAGGCTTTGGGAACAGCCCGGATCCGAGGCTATAAGGGCCACATCATCTCAGCCTGCCCTAAGCAAGTGGAGTGCAGGGTTGGGAACACTGCCATTTGCATGAAGCTCCAGCTGCAACCTCAGATGCCCCACTGGACCATTTGCAATGAAAACCATGCCCCTTTCAGCAGAACCTTCCACTGAGGATCCTTAGCAGAGAGAAATGGAAGGAAGCCCAAAAGCCCAAACCAGGAAGTGTGGGGAGGAGGGCAGAGGGGGCGAAGGTGGTGCTCTAACTTCTAGAAGGAAACTGATGGAGAAAAGGAACAAAGCCGACCAGAGGAAAGGACAACAAATGTGGCCAGAGGATTTATGGAGACACGTAAGGCCCGACGTTTTGCTTTATTCCCAAACAGAATTTAAACTTAGAAATTCCCTTAGAATACTAACAATAACTGTGATTTAAAAAAAGAGGCTCTTCAAGTTCTCCCCTCATCCGCAACATCCTCATCCTGTGGCTCTCTATACTCAGTCACTACTACAAACCTCGCAGAAAGGAAATTACGTTCCTTTTCCTCAGTCGGAAAAGCCGAGCCTTAGAATGGAGGCAAGCAGACCCTCAGGCACGTCCTGGGGCGAGTTGGGGGGAAGCCTCCAGAAGCTCCTGCAGAGCAGGCTCAGATGCTCACGTTTCTGGGGTAGCCCTCCTTTCTCATGGGCCAATTTCAACCCACAGCCAAGTACTCCAAGGTGTAAACTGTCTTCTGGGATTCATTTGCCAGAGGAACAGCCGGGAACTCTACCCCTAACCTCAACTAGTTTGCTGGGAGAAGTGCTAGAGTGTGGACAACACTGAGCACAGGTCCATCTCAGACACAGGGAACCCACAGCTTGGCAACTGTCTTTCTTAGATAAGGGACATCTTCACACATGGCGATTCCAGACTCGGGAATGGAAAGGAGATCCTTTACCCTTCCTCAAACTCTGAGTTCCCGCTGATAAATGGCTGTTGAGGGACTCAAGCCAAGGAGCGGGTAAAAATTCTAACCTGGAGGAGACTCACTCCGACTACCCAAAACCACATGAATCTCACTCAACGACCAAAATGTCCATGAGATTCCCTCATCGTTGAGTGGCCCCACATCAGCTGACCCTACATGTCACCCAAGGATACCTAAAATTCTGCTTTCAACACTTATAATACTAACAATAATTGTCAATAAACAACTTACATTGTTATTTGCCACTTTAAACTCTGTGCTTACAAAGCTGTTGATCATCTGATTCTTGAAAATCTCTCCTCCTCTCCCTGATGACACACAGCTTCTCTTCCATTCCTCTTCCTGCCTTGGCTACTGGCTGCTCTCTTGCTCCTCTACCAGAAATTGAGTCCTTCCCCAGAGGTGAGTCCCTCACCACCCAAGCCATCTCCTGCTTTCTATGACTTCAACTATGCCTTGAAGCAGAGGACTGACTCCTCCACCTGCTCCTGGCCCTGATCACATTTTCCAGCTTCAGCCCAACAATCTGCTGCCAGGTGGACATTTCCTCCGAATAGATGTGTCACAAGCACCTCAGACTCAAAACCAAGCCTGCCATCTTTCCTCCCAAACCTCCTCCCACTACTGCCGGTTCTCAACGGCATTATCATTTCCCAGACTTTCGGGCTGCAAACCCAGCTCTTCCATCTCACCGCACAAAAAGTGAGTCACTGAATCCCATCAATTCTATTTCCCTAAAGCTCCTTAACCCATCCTTCCTTTCCATCGTCAGGCCCTGGATCAGGTTCTCAATGCCTCTTGCCTAGACTCTTCCAATAGCCTTCCAAGTGGTCTCCTCTGTCTCCTTTTCCTCTTCATACTCATTCAAACCTGTCATTTAATCTTTCTCAATACAAGCCTCATGTTACCTATCTGCCCACTACTAGCATTCACATTAAAGTTCAAAATCCTCAGACTGGAATTCAAAGTTCTCTATTGAAAATAATTTGACACTTTATATTTCAACACCTTATTGCTCCTTAAACTCTCTTAAAGAGCTCCCATATTCTAGTCCTACTGATCTTCCCCTGGCTTTCTTAATAAGCAGTCTCATTCTCCTGCCTCCTGACTCCCATACCACTCACGACTTGCGCAGGAAGAGCCGTCTCCCTCCATATCTACCTCCTGTAGTCCTGTTCATCCTTTAAGGTCCGTCTCAAACTCTACCTTCTCCAAAACATTTTTCTAAATCTCCACCAATGAACTGACTAAAGCATTTAACACACTCTGCCCAGTATCAAAATTAAGGCCGACATACTCCTGGAAGCACACACCTTGGCACCTCCCACATTGCCCAACATGACGCCCTGTAAGTAGTTTGTGTTCAGTAAATGTCTGCTGAACTGAATCTCATTCTAGTGAAGGTCTTCATATCCATGGCTTTAACAATCCCACAGTGTCATGACAGCTCCCAAATCCGTACCTCCAATCTGCTAATATTAATAAAAATAGGTAAAAGCTTATGAATATTTATGAGTTACTGGCACAGTGCCAAGCATTTATCAAGCATTATCTCATTTAATCTCCCCAACTGACCTATGAAGTATTAGTGGACATTACTATTAGTCCTACTTTTCAGGTGAAATTGAATTACTGACAGATTAAGTAATTTGCCCAAAGTCAGACAGATGGGTAAGTGGCAGGACAGGGTTTGAAACGCACGCCTATCTGATTTAAAAGAGCCTGTCCTCAGAACCAAGCATTCAGTAATGTTTGTTTGCTGGGTGAACAGATGGAAGGACGGATGAAGAGAAGGATGACTGGGTAGCTAGGTGGATGGAAAGAAAGAAGGAATCAATTTCCTGACTCCAGTCTTCAAGCCATTCTCTATTTTGCTAGCAAAATGAACTTTCTATAAAGTAAACCTGTCATTTTTGACCTTCCTCTCCCTTGGTTAAACCCCCCTATGGTTTCCTATCCCCTTAGATAAAGTCTGAACCCCAAACCATGGTATAGATTTCCTCAATTATCTTACTCAAGCTACCTGTGAAGCCTCCACCTTTGGCTCCTCTTCCCAGCACACCCTCTGCCTCAGCCATCGGGGCCTATTTACAGATCCTGTGCCACGCCCTCTCACTCCTCCACTTCTGATCACTCCTCCTGGCTCTGAAATGGCAAGTTCCCCTCCAATCACCCAACCGACTGACTGTTACACATCGAGACTAAGCCCAAATATCCCCCTTACCCTCCCACAAGCCTCGCCACCATCCTTCACTACACAGGAGGAGACGTTTGGAGCTATGGTTCTAACTCAGCAAAATCGCTGCTAGACTTGCTCAATTCCTAAAACTCTTTTAAAAGGCACCCCCATTATCCTATAGATTTAGATGTCCTGCTGAGCAAACGAAACCATTCCTATATATCTCAAAACCTATAGTATTGTGTCTTTCAAATAAACTCTATGATGTGTCATTAATCTGGTCCTGTCACCATTATCAATAATAGCACATTGCATTATATTTCAGAATCTTGGAATTTTAAAGCTAAAGATGGCCTTAGATGTGCTACAGGAAGGGAAGGAAGACTGGTATTGGAGGAGCTGTTAGACCCCCTTCAAGAGTTGAGAATTAATGCATCCACTTGTAACCTCACATGTAAGAAACCTGAGAAACAGGGAGGTTAAGTGCCTGGCCAAGGTGATATGACTTCCTTTCTGAATCTTCTGTTCCACAAACATTTACTGAGCACCTGGCATAGTGCTAAGCATTCAAGTTCATATTAGTGAGTAAGAAAGGATCTTTGTGTTTGGGACACTGTAGTCAGGAAGAGCTGGACATGGATTCCTCTCCTTGTACTATAAGCAGTGAGTGGTGTGACAGGAAAGAGTGAAGGAATCTTAGCCAGACTTGAGAGACAGGCTTCCTTGAGGAGATGCACTTGAGACTTGAGTTGGGTTCTGAAAATT